CAGCCTGCTGGCAGGCAAGCCGCGGGGAGGTGGGAAGGGGAGCCTGTGCCGCACGCTGGCACCGTGTCACATGAAGTGCCTGTCACTAGGGGCCCCGCAGGATTCCCTGAGCTGCTGCTGCCCGGCCGGCCTTGGCAGCCCCGGCGGGGAGCGTGTGCTGGGCCGGCCCCGCCGGGGTCCCGCCGGGCCCGGCCCTGTGGGGCAGGCCGTAGCGGTCCTGGACGCAGGAGGGTGAGCTTGTTGAAGGTCATGGAGAGATCTTTTAGAGGCAGACCACAAAACAGGGCACACCAATGTGTTTTTCTTCTATTTCTTATCTCTGGTCTTGGCAAGAAGGAAGTTGGACTAAATAAACGTGGGAGGTTGCTTAGATCTACAGTTTTGTGCCCAGTGACCTGTGCTGAATGGTGCTCAGTCAGCAGATCTGGCAAGGGGCTGGTCAGGTAAAAGCCTTGAGAGATCATGTTCCATCAGGTTCCAAGGAATTGGACTTGTCTTTAGGGCTCTACCCCAGAATGACTGTGGAGTCAGTCCAGTAGATGAAGGTTTCAGTCTTTCTGCTGAGGTTAGGAGACACTTGAGTACGCATCCACCTGTATTCTGCTTCAGTATGAAGGGCTCAGGTTTCTTAAACTTCTAAACAGGTTGCAGAGTTCCCTGTCTTGCTGTAAGTTACAATGGTAGAATTAAGTTGCTGGTTAGAGTTAGTGTGTTCCAGTGTCGAGAGATTTTTTTTTGGCTGTTTTTTTCCTTTTTATACCAGAATTTCTTGGGGTTTTTTTTGTTTTTTTTTTTTTTTTTCTGATAGCAGTGTATAGAACAGGCATTTCATTGTGAGGAAGGAGTGTGTACACTACAACTGTTTATTATCTCTTCCCGCTTCCCTTCTTGGTGCTGTGGCCAGTAAGTGAGGTTTTGCACAGAAGCCTTGAAAGTGTTTATATTCCATTTCAGCCAGGGTTGCTGCGTATGTTAATGTTCCTTGTGTGGGAAAACAATGCCATGCCTTAGGCTAAGAACAGTGGAATCATTTCTGTTTGTAAAGACCCTTAAGATGATCGAGTCCAATGTGTCGTGGTTTGACAGTGCAATGAAGTGCTCCCCATGCCCCTGCTCCAGCTTGGATTTACCCATAGTCTGCAGTGCCTTAGGGCTGTACCTGCTTCAGGTGAAGCCATATCTGTGAGCCACAGTCTCCTCAGGACTATACCTGCTGCAGCAGAGATTTACTCAGGCACAGTCCTTCAAAGTGCACCTGTTCCAGTGTGGCCTGCAGGGCCATAATCCCTCCAGAGGTGTGCCTGCTGCGGCAAGTCACAGCCACAGCCACTCTGAGAGGTACCTGCTCCCCCCATCTACAGGTCACAGTCCCTCCAGCTCGAGTTCACACTGCGGCTCCATCCAGCCTGTCCAGTGCGGCAGCACAGAACTGGCAGTGATGCCCTGCCCACCTGCCAGGTCAGGCCATCGCTGTGGCTGTTATCAAAGCATTCCCAGGCCCAGCAGGAAGCTGTGTTGTTCTTCATGTCTGGTTTTCATCAAACAATAACTGGCAAACTGAATGCTGTGCCAGCTAACAATAGTAATTCTGGGATGTATGGAAATGGGTGGCATGTGGGCCTGGGCAGAGAGAGCAAGTAGTTTCTGGAGGTTCTCCATGGTCAGTGCCCTGTTAGTATTTTCTCCTGCATGAGCTGGGAACATAGAGGTCTGTGTTCAGCCTGCAACCATGCTGTATTTTGTATTTTGAATAGTTGGGTTTTGGGGGGTTTTAAACAATTCATGTGAAGCTCTGGGGTGTATTTTATATAGTCATTATGTTTTCTGGCATTCCAGAAATAAGACTGAGAGTGCTTTCCATGTAAATCAAAAGAATGTGCTCAGGACAAACCTTGAACAAATGTTGACTTCCTTTGGCCACAGCAGCCATGCACTCAATATTACTTGAGCACAAGCACAGAAGTTGAGGTATTACTTCCCCTGTGGTGTCTGTCTGCAGAGCAGAGCTCTTGTGTCACCTGTGGTCTGTGCTACAGGTGCTGCAGGACTGTTCTGCTGGCCTCTAATCTTTTGTAAAAGATAGGTCTTCTATACACAGGAGTATACTAGGTTGTTGGTGTTTTCTTATAACAACTGAACATTCAAAGATGTGACTAAAAAAAATGGCGTTGATATTTTTCTAGCAGATGAGTTAAAAAAAAATAAAAATCCCTACTACTTTAAATTCAATTTTGTTCCAAAGCTGGTGCATGGTGCATATAATCTACTAAGCAGGAGACATGCTGTTCTTCAAGGGAATTTTAAAAAATTTGACTAATCCCCTGCCCTAGGGAAATACCCTAAGAATCCCCATCTCCTCAGACTAGACAGCAGAGGGGCTGAAAAGGGAACTGTAGTAAGTGAGTTGCAATATCCAGTTACATCCTCATTAAAAACACCTGGTACTGTGGCAGTTTGAGTGGTAGGAGACCTTCCAGTGTAACTTCTTTCACATTCATTCTAATAGGAGCTGCAGCAGTTTAAGCACTCAAAGCTGAGTGAATTTTTGCCTCTGAAAGACAGATTCAGTGAGAAAGACCAATTTGCCAAACACAGTGCTATCAGAGAGCGCTGGTCTAGCTGCTTCTGTGCTTTCATGTGCTCCATTCGAAGGTCCCTTTTTATCTATCCATCAAAATGGGATTTTAGGAACCAAATTCTCTATACAGAGTGATCTCTTTCTTGGTTTAATTATTTTTCCCCTCATTCTGAACTTCCTTAGAGTTGTGATGCAGCGTTTAAACTGAGTCTGCAGCTGAAGCCTGAGGGTACTTAGCACTTCATAGAATAGGAGAATGTCCGTTTAAGAAACAAGGTTAAAGAACAACAGTGTTAGGTCTTGAAGGATTGATACATTCGTTCATTGTCTTGTGATGCTTTTTATAGTGGTTTGCTTTTGGTTTTGGCTTTCTTTTACTTGCTTATTTTGTTTTTTAGAGTGATTATTTGGTCGGATAAATTTTTGTGAAGTTCTTCTGGTCGCTGGTCAGCTAGACTGGAGGAAAAAAAAAATCATTGGTCTTTCATTTTGTTTGGATCACTCCTGATTTCCTTGTTTTTCCCTTCTCTCAGAATTATTTTCTTTTACAGTCAGTGCCCTTTTGTATGATATCAGGATAGATTTTGCTGGCTTTGATTACAGGAAGGAATGTAGGCCATAAATAGATGGTATATATACTGCTAACACTAGGAATACTGAAATAGCTGGTCTCAAAGACAGGGAAAACCTAGCCAGCTGGCCAAGGGCCAGGAGGTTGCAAGATTGACAGTTACATGTCAAGCCTGAAACGGGGATTAATGGTAGGCTGTGCTCTAAAAAACAGCATGCTGAGCCCCAGGAGAAATTCTGCAGGAGCAAATTCAGGAAGAGCCATGTGCTGATGCCTCAATGCAGTTTTGCCTTTCTCTTGACTCCTCTGTCCCCACAAGGTTGTGGCATTCCCATATTTTTTGTCTCTGTGATCCACATGGACTGGGCTAGCTGCCTTCTGTGCCTTGATGGAATGTACTCAGGAGGGGCTTGAGGAGTTTGTTTGAAGGAAACCCTTCTAGTTGTCTTTTCTATACAGCCAGTTAACTGCAAGGGCACTGATAATTTTTGCAGAAGATGGTGGTCTGTGTTTCTTCTTTTGCAGGAGTAGAATTTTCCATATCTGCTGCTCTGGAGGTTATAGCCATAAGTGCTATATTTGGTGGTGAGGATGTCACTGCCCAGCTAAAGAAACTTGATTAAATAATGTACAATAGTTTGTTCATGGCATGCCTGACAATGCTCATGGAGGTTTCCAGACTTTTCGTATGGGCAACCTATGCTGCTGTTCTCAAGATCAAAGGGCAGAATGGGGCCAGAATTCTGCCTCTGAATCGCTGTGGCACTGTACAGCAGACAAGTGGCTTCCAAAAGCCCTGCTCTGCTAGAGTGTCACCCACCACTAAACCTGTGAATTACAGTCAAATTTCAAATAAAGAGTTTTTGATTACCTAGAATACTATTACAATTGTGATGTGAAACTGGTTAAAGCAGAAAAACTGTGGATCAGAATTCAGACACTCCTGAAAGAAATTGTCCTTTTCCCAAATGGAGAAAAAACAGAGTGTAAGGTGTGGGGTTTGGGTTTTTCAGTTTGTGTGGGGATGGGGTGTCCTTCCACATAGACTTTTTCTTCCAAGGTATAAAGTAATAAAATTAGGGGAAACATTTGGTGCTAAGAAAGAGTGGTTTGGTGGGAGAATATTGAAGGATTTTCTCATTTGTCACTTGGTCTCTTCCCTAATAACAATATCAGCACTTGGCCATTAGCTGTATGTACACATACAGTGTTTGTCAGGAGTTTCACTCTATTTAGCTCCAGAGAATAATACAATTATGTATTTATTATTTTTAGTTTCTGTCAACAATGAAAAGAGCTCTATTCTTCAAACATGAGTAAGCCAAAAAGAGTTAGCAAAGGCATTATGGAAGTAGTAAATTCTCCCTCTGTTCCAGTTACAAACTGCGTCAGCCATTAAGTGTGCAGCACACACAGTAAGAAGCATCCCTGGTTCAGAGAAGTGACAGAGAGAGTCACAGACTCTGAGGGAAAGCCAGGCTTTCTGCCTCACCCTGGGACAGGTTTGTCTGCCCGCAGCACAGAGAGGTAAACCTGTGGCTGTAGCACAGAGAGGTGAAGTGACTTTCAGAATTCCTTTGATGTATCTTAAGGCAGGGAGCAGTGTCCCAGAGCATGGGTCAGTCACCTTGGCCTCTCTGAAGGAGCAGATGAGTGCTTCTGTGCCACTCCAGTTCCCATTTAATGAAACCATCACCAGCTGCTTTTTCTTTGCGCTTAGGTCGTGCGTCTGACCTCTCTTCCTCTTGCTCACGAAGGAGATTGCGGGGTTTAGAGGGCAGCTCCACCTGGCAAATGTCACATGCCCTCTGCTAGTGTGGCACCTTAGATGACTGTCTACCTAAGCTTCAGGCAGTGAGTTACTGGTCTGATTCACTCCCCTCAATCTGGTGCATCTGTCCTGGCAGTCGGGTGTCTCCCGTGTCCGTCAGTCCGGTGTGCTGCGGGCTGGGAGCAGGGGAGGTGAGCGCTGCCGCTGCCTGCGCTGTCTCAGCTCTGTGCCCAGCTCACCACCCTCAGCCGTGCAGCTGCATGATCAGCACTTGCTGATCAACTCCTGGCTTTCAAGGTTAAAAGAGAAAGGTAAAGAATTAAAAATTGGTGTGCTGCTTTAAAGGTAAGTGGTTTCTTTTGTATTTAGGGTAAGTACTTCTATGTCTGTGCTGCCAGAGTTAAACTGGTATGGGTCATGCTGTCATTCAGTGAAGCGTATGGCTGTTATGTAAAGGTTTTAATTACTTTCTTCATCTGCCTGCTCAGGAACACCACGCATCTGGCAAAATTTTGAGAAGGCTCAAGGCGTTAAAGAAAGCTCATCTAAATAAAGGAGGGTTAACGTGACATTGCAGTTACTTAATCCTGTATTGTCCTGCCATGTGACTGCAGGGATACTGAGGCGCAGCATTTCTTTTGCCTGGTGCACAGATTATGCTTTTCCTGTCATCTTCCAGAATCAGTTGCTTTGTTGAACACATAATGGGAAAGAACAGAGGGACAGCGTACTTTTTGCAGCAAGGCTTCCACACACAGTGACATTCCCAAGGTACGGTGACAAGCTCACAGGCTGAAGAATGAATCAAAGGCAATCCCTACAGTCAGTTTTTGGACTTTTACCAGAATCAAGGAGAACTGCGCTCTTAAGGTCAGCTATTCAAAATTAGCTAGAAATATCTGGATTTATTCAGAGCTGATTTATTAATCAGCTTTCTGTTTGACCTTTATCTATCAAGTTACTTCTCAAAGGATCAAGCTAAAATCTGAATATTTGTGTCAAATATTTTGCATGTGTCAAATGTACTGCATAGACAGTGAGCACCTTGCCACTTTCTTGCACAAAGTTTGCAGTTTTAATTGCAAAGCCTCTTTTACCTTGCAGCTGAAGATCCTGACACACTAACTCTGTTAGTGAAGAATGGATGTTTTATCTCTGATTTTGAGCAGGACATGCAATATATAGATATGCTAGATTTGTTTTTGAATGAATTTTCAAACTAGTCTTTGGACTTTCTGTAAGCTGCTATTTTTTTTTTTCTTTTGCTGCATTTGTCACAGGGTCCATAATGTGCAGGATTGCATACTCATACAGAATTACTTCATTTAAACTTATCAGGACTTCGTGTTAAATGGGGAAGTGATTACCCTATAGACTATGACAACAGGGTATGTGAATGAAGGAAGTCTTGGAAAATACCGCTGTTCCAGGTGGGATCACGAGGACAGCAGAGAAGATGATGGGCAGCTGGAGTACCATGAAGGAGATGAAGAGGGCAAACAGCCCAGGCTGACCCCATTTGAGAAACTAATGCAGGATATGTCTCATAATGAAAAAGTGGTGAAAGAATTAACGCTGGGAAAGAGAATTGCCTTCTATCGAGTCAGAGGAGAAATAGGAAGTGGGAATTTCTCACAAGTGAAGCTTGGAATTCATTCCCTCACCAAAGGTAGGCACCATTGCATGCTGAGTAACCTGTATAAATGACTTCCTATGCGAAGAAAGATGCTGTATGAACCTTAAATACACATATAGAGTTTGTGTGTGTATGTATGTGTGTATTTTTAACGTTTCTGAGTTAATCTGTAGACAGGGTCACAAATAAATCCTCAGAGTTGTATTCTGTTTAAAGAAACTAGAAACAATTTCTCTACATGGCAGCTATTACAGGTGGAGTTCATCGCTGCACTTCATGGAGTTAACACATTCTGTGGCTCAGACACTCCACACTTTGAAGTGTGGTATTGGGCCTCCCCTCCTACAACCTGCCCAGTCCATCCACCCTCTTCCCTGCCCCAGCTCCTGGTCCGCAGGGATACAGGTGATGAATGTCCAGGATAGTGGGTTAGGTATGCTCCTGCCTGCAGCCAGAGGCAGCAAGGCTTCCTTTGTTTCATCACAAAAAATTTCATTTGGTCATGGTAATTTTGGTGAGCAATGCTATGCCACTTAACTGACTTAGTTGTGGATGGTTCTTTACTGTAAAAAGCTAGGATGGGAGCTATGGGTGTGGGAGGAACAGGTGCAGGGGAACAAGCTCTGGTATCGCCAAACTGATGTTTGTGTTGAATTGTCAGCTAGTTTTATTGTTTTAATTATACAAAACACCCTATCTACAACTTCTAGGAAGGACTGGAAGGTCTAGGTAACTGCAGTGGACACCTCAGTCATAGGTATAAATGAGCTGTCAGCAGCTGTCCTGTTTCTTCTTCTGCCTTTGTCTGAAAATAACAGAAATTGTTGTTTTCCATCAGGATAACTAGTTTTCTCTGTATCTTTGTACACTACTATCTTTTCTTGTAAGAGTCTTTACTTTTCAGTTTGATTGACTCTCCCTCCCTTCATCATCTGAGATGAGAGAATGAGATACGCCCCAAAACTGTGTTCCCTTTTGTTATTTTCTTTAATCACCTCTTTCAGCCCAGGTTTAAGGGGGGTGAAAGCTCACAATTATCCCTCGGGTGCAGTGGTTGTTGCACTGGGAATCTAAGTGGAGAACCGATGGTACTTAATTTTTCACATTTTACCCTGCCAACACCCAAGGGTTGCTTTATCTGGGTGTTGAGTTTTTGGTTATTCTTGTTTCAGAAAAGCATCTCTGTTCTACTTGGTCCACAAGTTGTTTCCTCTTCTGTGATGTTTCTTCTTCTTCCCGAGGCAACTGTTTTGTGCTTACTGTTGGAAGAAATGCTGCTCCTGTACTGGGAACACAAGGAATGCTAATGAAAGGCAGTTAGAAATTTGATTCTGAATTAACCCTTTGCTGAACTTACTTAGGAAACAGGTTGTTTTAGTATCTGAATAGAACTGATTGAAAAATTTTGAACTTCAGTGAATACAGTAAGCTGGGACAAACTAAATACCAAAACCAAAACGGTACTTTTTCTTTCTCTGGAAAAGGTTATTTTTAATAGAAATCTCTCAAATTATTTTTCCTTTGTTTGTTTGTAACTTTTTTGGTTAAAATGTTCACTGGAAAGGGAGTTGATTTATTTATGCTAAGTTTGTAACTGTCATGAGGAAGGAGGAATGAAAGATAAGTATTTTCTGACCCATTCTGCCTGTGAATTTATCTGTGCCAATAAAATACATGGATGTGGACAGAAGAACAGAAACGTGCACTTAGGCATTCATGTATACACACTCACCACCACCAAAGATGAATCTGTTTTTTGTGGTAGATACACATTGTTGTGTTGGCAATGAAATTATATTCCTGCACAGTGTTAATGAGTGCAAGTTTTCTTTTTAATCTGATTATATAAATAAAAGGCTTCATCATTAATGCTGGTCTGGTCTCTGTGGAAGAGGGTTGTGTGTGTGTCAGAGGGCTGTTCAGCTCTTCAGTTACTGCCAGTTTTAGTATGGTCTCTCTCCTCTATCATCCTGTATCAAAAGAGGAAACAATTTTTTTTTTACTAAGATGAGCCTTTGTAAAAATTACATATATATGCTTTTCTGTTGCCCTTGTAATCTGATGCAGCAGGACACATGATTTCTAGAGAGAAAGAGAGAGGAAAAAACTTCAGGATCATACTGGATGATGAACCTTGTTTCCCTCACAAGGGCTGTCTTGGTTGTTTAGAAAACACAGAAAAATCTTTGGTGCTATGATGTGGATGCCATGTCCCATGGCTTGGACAGGCTGGCTGGCTAGCTGGAAACAGGGAGTGGTGCTGAATGGAGTTATATCCATCTAGGGCTAATCACCAGCAGAGTTCCACGGGGCTCAGTATTGGGGCCAGCTCTGATTAATGTCACTCAGTTTGCAGGTGACAGCACATTAGGTGGGAGTGTTGATCTGCTGGAGGGCAGGAGGGCTCTGCAGAGAGATCTGGACAGGCTGGATCATGGGCTGAGGACAGTGGGGTGAGGTTCAACAAGGCCAAGTGCCAGGTCCTGCCCTTGGGTCACAACAGCCCCAGGCAGTGCCACAGGCTGGGACAGAGTGGCTGGAAAGGAGCTGGGGGTGCTGGTGACAGCAGCTGAACATGAGCCAGGGTGTGCCCAGGTGGCCAAGAAGGCCAATGGCATCCTGGCCTGGATCAGCAATGGTGTGGCCAGCAGGGCCAGGGCAGGGATTGTCCCCTGTGCTGGGCACTGGTGAGGCCACAGCTCCAGTGCTGTGTTTTATTTGTTTTGGACTCTTCACTGCAAGAGAGACTTTGAGGTACTGGAGTGTCCAGAGAAGATCAGCAAAACTTGGGCAGGGTCTGGAGCACAAGTCCTGTGAGGACCAGCTGAGGGAGCTGGGGGTGTTTATCCTGGAGAAAAGGAGGCTCAGAGGAGACCTTATCACTCTCCACAACTGCCTGACAGGAGGGTGTACCAGGTGGGGGTTGGCCTCTTCTCCCAGCTAGCAAGGGATAGAGTAAGAAGAAATGGCCTCAAATTGTGCCAGGAAAGGTTGATGTTTAGGTTGGACATTAGGAAAAATTTCTATACCACAGGGGCGGTCAGGCCTTGGAGTGGGCTCCACAGTGACTGATGAAGTCACCATCCCTGGAGATACTTAAAAGATGTGTAGATGTGCCATTTAGGGACAATGTTTAGTGTTGTGCCTGACAGGTTGGACTTCATGATCTTAGAGGTCTTTTCTGACTTATGTTTCTATGTGTGTTGTGTTATTTAGGGGCTTTGCCCACTATATTAACGTGAATTTTGGTAGCAATTTTCTCCATGGTGTTTTCTTGCTAAGGACTGTTAAATTCCTAAGCGCTGTATAACTTTTATTTTACATGCCTTCCATCTGACAAAGAAAGTGTGAGAGCACAGCTGAATAGAAACAATTATGGGTATAAAAAATTTATAGCTAGTAAGAAGTCTGTGTAATATGACACAAATTGCAAAAGCAGGAATGTCCAGGCACCCAGTTTGCTTTTTTTTTTAAAAGCCATTTTAACTTGGTTTTTTTGGTATATTTTTCCCTTCTGCCATCATATCATACACAATTTCTTCCTGAAATTATTTCCCAACTTTTTCCTAGTTTTTATTACTAAGATTTCACCTAGCACTTTTCAAACCTCATACATGGCATATAGTCAATCAAAATCTCTTTCAACTCTTTTTGTAATTATTTTGGTAAATAAGCTGCCTGCTAAAAATGTCCTGTTCAGCACAGCTGCTAAGCAAGAGTAATAGAGGATTTATAAACCAAGCATTGTTTGGAAGCAGAAAGGAAGCGTTTAGAAAAGAAAAGGAAGGTGTCAGGTTTCTTTGCATGGAATGCATTTGCAACTGCAATGATGTAGATTTAAAGGAGCTTGGTCCTGATTTATGGTGGTGTTTGAGAAGGATCATGCTCTTCAGTTCAAAATCTTTTTTTCCTCTCCTCTTTCCCTTAAAAGTTAGCAGGAAAACTTACCAGGAGGAAAAGTAGAGCAAAATGAAAGGGGAAAAAATTAACCTAGAAGATTTTATTTTAAAGCCCAAATGTCCCCAACTTGCATTGTTAACATTGTTAGAATTGTAAGCATTTAGTTATGCAAATATAACCTACTGAAAGCTGATGCTCTTTCCTCTTCGTTTAGGAGATCAATGTGCTATGAACATGAGGAGGGTCTTTCACTAGGTCAGCAGTCACTGTCAGTAGCTGCATTTCCTCCTGGTTCACCCAGCTCCACACCACACAGGAGGTACCTGCTTCCCTGAGGGGCTCTCCCTCAGGTCGGAGAGAAGCAGTGTGACTAGCATAACTGCCCTGTACTCAGCACAGACTCTTAAAAACAGGCACGTCAAGGGATAATTTAGCACCTTCCACCACAAGAATCACGTGTGCTTCAAGCATCTTCTGCACTTTAGTAGGGAGATCAATTGATATATGTATCACACTAAAAAATGTACATATGCCAAATATGGAACTTTCTTGATCTGTACAGGCACATGCATAAGTATCCTTAACATTCCTTTATATATGTTGAAATACTAAACTTGAGTTAAAACTTGATAATATTCAGTAAAAACTTGAATGGTTTTATACCTGAACATGTGTAAAAATGTAATAGCCTTCTCTCTCTTTTCTTACAGCAACAAGTGAACAATACCTTTTTTCCTAATTTATTCTCATTTACTAGGAACCAAGGTGAAGTTTTTTTCTGAAAGATTTATTAAAAGTGATTAATTATTAAGAAATCTGTGATTGTTTGACTAAGATGGTCTTGAGGGGGAAAAAACCAAAACCAAACAACCAAGAATCCCTTCTTCACAGGAATAAATAGTTGCTTTCATTGCTGTGATCCATTTTAATTTTGCTGTCCTGACAAGTTATACAAAGCCACCATAAACCTGTTTTAACCTGACTAATCCTTCAAATACCAGCTGTGTTCAGAAGAGTAAAGACAAAAGCTGTAACCTACAGAGTAAAACAGGAACATAAGGGCAACTGTGATTTACCTATTCATACTGGTCTGAGCTACCCTAATAATGTGGTGCAGCTGCAGATACATAGATATATGTGTTTTATGGCCTTTGGCTTCACTATGTAGGCTTCCAGAAACATGTAGGACTTAACAGCAGCTTTGCATTACCAGAACAGTATGTGCCAGCTAGATTTGCTGTCTTACAGGATCCCTGCAACTTGACTTCAGTGCTCAGAATAAAATAGCCAAAGCCTCTAAATTCCCCACAAATTTGTCTGTCTGGTAAGAAACAAAGCACACGAATTTCACACCTCCATTAGTCTCCAAGTACCTGGCTCCTCTGAGGAGCTATGAGCTAACAGCAAAAGCACAGACTTACTCTACCAGCTGTGAGCACCAAAATCAGACACATATAAGCCTGTCACAGCAAAGCATACCAAGGCAGCAGATGATGTGATCGACCCTTGGAATACTCTACCAGCTTCATCCCAGCACTGAGTAGGATGTTGTAGACAGAAAGGGGCAGGGGTTGTGTGAAAGATTGCAGGGCTTAGTGGACACCTGCAGCTTAGTTTATACTGATGAGGTGAAATTTTATTGCACTTCTGCAGCCAAGCATTGTTGTATGTAAATGGTATTACCATTTTGTACCTGTTGCATTAACAACATGGAAAAAATGTTTTTCTTCTCAGAGAAAGTTGCAATTAAGATTTTGGACAAGACAAAGCTAGACCGGAAGACTCAACGTTTGCTGTCTCGTGAGATATCCAGCATGGAAAAGCTGCACCACCCAAATATCATCAGGCTGTATGAAGTGGTGGAGACACTCTCAAAACTGCACCTGGTGATGGAGTATGCAGGAGGTGGGGAGCTCTTCACTAAAATCAGTACAGAAGGAAAGCTGCTAGAAACAGAGTGTAAAATAATCTTCTCACAGATTGTGTCTGCTGTGAAGCACATGGTAAGTTGCTCTTACACAGGAATGCAGCCTCTCACTACTCTGAGCTCATTTTTGCATATTTCTTTTGAATTTCAACAGTAGATTTACTGTTACCCAAAATTTCAGGCCCACATTTCTAAAAAGAAAAACATCTAACAGCTATAGAAGAGCTGTTAAAGGTATCTGAGGGTTTTCACATCCACCTCAAGTTACTGCCTCTCTGTTGACAGCTTTTGCGAGGAGACTGGAAACACCTGGTGGGTGGAATCACCCTTCTAGCACCAATGTTCTGTTTGCTTTAATGTGCTGTGGGCAGCAGTGAACAAAGCTTTGTTTCTTCCCTCCTGTTTCAAAGCATAGGATCAGTTGCTCTTCCGCTTCCAGAGAGGCTGGTTAGGTGTTGCAAACATCCGGCTTGCTCATTAATGAATGTGCAAATCTGTCTTAAAGACAGTCAATTCCTGTTCCTCACTTCGATGCAAATCTGTGAGGTTAACACCCAACAAGTCACTTCTTGCCTGATCTTCAGTATGTACACTTAAAATGATGCTATTTTTAGAGCCGAAAGCATCTTGTCAAGGCAGAAAAGGAGCAATTAACTACTTCGGTACATCTCTAAACCTTGCAGAGTAATTACAGCTACTTCAAAAAAATAAAACCACGGAGAATTGTTCTACAAGTCTGAGAAGCAGCATTCGTTAAAATTGGCTCAGGGTGCCCTCCGGTGGCTCCTGTCCTCCTTGCCACATAACAGCTTCTGGCCAAGTCAGAAACAAGGGTGATCCGAGGTCAGACGTCCGGAGACTGCACCGCACACTACTCGAGGCTGACATAAAGAGCATGCATTTCTTACGTATTTTGACGAAATGATTGTATGTGCTTTAAGTGGTGAGTTAGCTTCAACGTTTAATCTATAGGACAGGCGCCCTGCAGCTACAGGAACTGAATTTACATTTGAAAATTCACATCTATTTCTTAGAATTAAACACAGACTATCAAGCAGGCCAACCTCTTCATTTGTATATAGAAACTTCTGCACATTTCACTTTTGCTAAGCCATCACATCCAGGCCACATAAACCCTATCTCCTTGTTGCCAGTCCACAAGGACAGAGGATCCCTGGCTGTTACTGATGAAAGTTGAAATAGGATGCCAAAGGGTTTCTTTATTGCCTCCAGATACTGTATGATGTTACTCCAAAGGATAAGGCAGAGAGTGCTCATCCATTCCTTCTAGTTATTCCAAAGATGAAGCTAAACACTTAATCAAGACACGTATGTCATGATTAAGAGCAAATTAAGTTGGAGTCCTTACCTACTACTGGCATTTCCAATGGAAAAGAAAAAAGTAGAAATTCTGGTGTGTATTGTAGATTTCTGAAACTAGAACACCACTAAACTTGGCTGCAGCATGAAGTACTGTGAAGCCAAACTCTGTGGTCCTTTTCTCCTGCCACCACCAGTTCCTCATAGGACATCAGATCTCAGAATGTAATAGTAGCAAATTTCTTACTTTATCTGTGATCATGTTCAATTGGTGAACTGTTTAAATCTGTAAGTTGCATGTAGTAATTACAAAAAAAAGTGATGTGAACCCCCAAAAAATACAGATTTTGCACATGAAAATGTTTAGTCATGCAGGATGTCGCGCTGCCGTCACACATTTGCTTCATGAAAATAGTTGCTATTAGTTAACAAGTTGAGAGTGCTGTGTTTAAAAATCCCAGCATCCTTCTCCTCCCCCTACTCAATTGTTTTTGTATCCTTGGAGAATTAAGTTAAATTTGTTTAATAATTTTCCCAATTGCAATAGTAGTTTCAGAATTTGCCCAAGATAACTCCCTTTCTCCTTCAGGGTAATTAACGAATTAGAGGTAGCCATTGAGATCTTTCCTGGGAACAAACCAATACCAACTTTTCCTCTTCTTCCACAGCATGACAATAATATCATTCACCGGGACCTGAAAGCAGAAAATGTCTTCTACGCCAGTAACACCTGTGTTAAGGTGGGAGACTTTGGATTCAGCACAATAAGTAAAAGAGATGAAACGTTAAAAACTTTTTGTGGCTCTCCTCCTTACGCTGCTCCTGAACTCTTCAGAGATGAAAACTATATTGGCATCTATGTAGACATCTGGGCACTGGGAATCCTCTTATACTTCATGATGACAGGTAGCATGCCATTCCGGGCAGATACAGTAGGCAAACTGAAAAAGTGCATTCTTGAAGGGACATACACTTTGCCTCCCTGCCTCTCAGAAAATTGCCAGAAACTGATAAGAGGAGTCCTTCAGCCAGTACCAACCAAGAGATACTCTGTCAAACTGATTATGAACAGTGAATGGATGCAAGGAATACAGTTCCCCAAACCTTTACAGACATTTAAACTGGATCCAAAATATTTATCAGACACCGGTACACTAAAAGAAGAAGAAATTGAAGTGAAAAATATTCTGGAAGATCTGGGAATCACAGAACAGCACATTCAGAACAACCGGGGAAGAGATGCACGCAGCTCCGTAACAGGGGTCTACAGAATTGTGTTGCACAGAGTACAGAAGAAAAGGGCACTCGAATCTGTTCCTATCATGTCCCAGCCAGATCCAACAGAAGACGACTCAAGGAACGGCATGACTTCTTACAGTGGCATTAAACACACATCCAAGCTGTGTTCTATTTTATAAAATTGCACTGCAGGCTTTATGCTCAGCACATTTGACAAAGGGGATTATTCACTTATCCTTAAGCTGTAGTGTTACGTTTTTTTGTAATTTTTGAATAAACCAGAAATGCCTCATTTTCTTCGCATTTCTCAATTAACAGTGAAGCACTCAAAAAAAGAGCTCTTGTGCATTTGTGTGACCCTTTATCCAGATACTTGGTACTTGGTATAGCCAGAGCAAGAACCCAGTAACTGCCAAAATCATGAGTGGAGGGGATCTTTTAATAAACAGCATGCTACTGCACTTAACCCATTTGGGAGATTCTCTCACAAGCATGTAACAGCTAACTTCTGAAAGCTGTACCTAAGCTCAACACAACTTCACCGTTGCAAACCAGGACAGTTTTTGCAGAGAACTAAATTTAAGCAGAGACCAGACTATAATCTAAACAATTGCAAATTCTTCTTTTGAACTTCCTCATCAAATTTTAACAAGTTAATTTTTAAAAAGCATTTTATTTTCTTTCAAGAAACATCAAAACTGTTGGTGGCTGCAGTTCCCAGCTTGTCACAATTCCAGAAGACAAATCAGGATTCAGTACTTTAACCCTGTATGTGTGGGTGCCTGACTGACTGGGCCTCCATCAGTTACCCTTCTGATGCCTTCCACTGCTTGCATGATTCTGCCACTCCAGAACTGCTTGGACTCCAGCTGCATTCCAATAAAGAAAGATTTAAGCATACTCCAAAACCCATGTAGTTTTAAGTTCTTGCCTTAGCCCTTGTTACCAGCAGCTGAATGCAAGCAGCAGCAAAATCTGCTTATATTCACTGAGCATTACAGGCTTGTCCTCACTCCTGCTGGCCCGCTTTGGCAACCAAAGCCAAAGCTCGCACAAAGCTGATTGTGGCACTTGATCACTGCAAGTTAAAAGCTGGACAGTCTGACAACTCCAGCTGTTCTGAGCATCACCAAAACGCAGATGCTCTGATTTTCAGCTTTAGTCGCTTATTCCACGCTTAGATCTTCAACAGCATCAACTCTAGTGCAAAGGACAAGTGTGGCAGCTGTTGTAAGAACAGGGACAGCTGACATGCCTAAGCTAAGAGGTAGAACCTCTGAGTTTAGCTAAGGAAAGATACGCAACACAAGGTGTGCACAGGTACAGCTGGTGCTCTCACATTTAAAGGCTGGATGCCTTATCTGTTACGACACCGATGAGACAATCATTTCACTTTAGAGGGAATGATTCATATAAATGAGCAGTGGAATGACTCTGAAAGGCCATGCATGGGAAACTGGACTCAGTGAAGCGCAGGTGTGTACAAAGCAAGAACCAAGCCTCCTTCACAGAATTTCTGAGGGTAAATAAAACAATACCAATTTTTATAAAACAGTAATTAATTCCATTTCATAAAGTGGGTATTAATTCCTCCACTATAAACAGTTTCCATATAAAAGCATTTTAAGTTATCTTGAAACATGGCCCTGATAAAATTGTTTTACACCAGCCTAAGCAACTCTTTTTTCCACATTCGTAATGGAATTACCAAGCAGAAAGATGCAGAATGTCCACATAGCTTGTGACCGCACAACTCTGGGTTTTTACCAGAGCCAGTTTTCTCTTTCCTGTTAAAGAAAAAAAAATCCATCCTAAAAAACCAACAAGTCAGCACTAGTCCAACAGGTTTCAAATATCTCAAACTTTATTTTAATAAATGATCAGCCTCACAGACCTGCGAGGCCTGTGCCAGTAGCTCACTTCTTGGCTTGTCCACTGCCAGCAATGGACTTTGTTCCATGACAATTTGTTTTACAGGTGCCAAGGTTAAGTTTCAAGAGGGCAACCTAAACCAAAATACTTGCAAACACTATCATCATGCATTGCTCCATCATTTTCAGCAGAACAAACAGATTAGTATTCATCAATTTATAATAAACAACTATTTTACCAAGGCTTGACTGTACAATACAGCAAGTTATCAAATTCTAGTGAGTGACAGGTAATACAAACACTTCATTACACACACAAAAAAATGTAATTAACAGAAATAATTTTTTGCTACTTTATGTTAGATAATGTAGCTTCGTAGAATTAGCAAAGAAATAAATTCAATGAAACTTCATTCTGTACATTAGCTCAACTTAAATATATATATACATATATATGTATATATATATATATATTACAAGCTTAAAAGGCTCATATCATAGTTCATTTCCAATCTGGGCTTTAAAAATCTACCAGAATGGACTCCCCATAACCACTGTAAATCTATCTACTGCTTGCAAAATGGATAGCTTTAGCTCACACACTGGGGAAGGGGGGAAAGAAATAAAAGACTCCACTCCTACAGTATTACTAATAGTGAGAAGGACTTCAAAGTACAAAGCCAGATTCAAAGCTAGAAAGAGTCTTTTGGAAATGTATTATATAAAAGACAACTAATAGGCTAGAGTTCCAGACAAAGTGATAAACATCACTCTCTTCCTTCGTTTGCCAATTAAAACAGCTCCCCATAGCTCTAAATTTGAAAAGTCTGCTGTCTTGGATATTGTACTAAACCGTCTATTATGGTGTCAAATTAATTATCCCCTTTCTTTAGAATAAAAAAAATTTACTACCTCCCTTCTTCTTAAAGATCTTTCCTCCCAGTCTCCTGTGACTTAAAATGCAGGTATAAATCACATGTTAGGAGGAATTACATAGTAACTAACACAGTGGATCACAGAGTTTCTTCTAAGAAAACCACTTGTCAGCCTAGCCGTTCTTGATCCGGTCACTTTGACAGGGAAGAGAGGCTCTATTCCAGCAATGGATGTTCTTGGTTCTATGCCTGTCCCAAAGCAGTGGGGTGATGGGAGGCAGAGTAGGAGATGAAAGGGAAGGTGATAAAGTGAAAGAGAATTGCAGTATTCAGAAGGCTGACTGCTTATTGTCAAGGCACTGAGAACCCTAACATTAAAAGCTTGGACTATTTTGCACACACTTGAGTATTAGGAGAAGTTAACAGTGTAGGTTTCAAATAATTTTACATGGAAGAGCAGGCAAAAGATTCCTTTTTTTTTTTTTTCCTTTCTGTGTACGAAGACTTTGTAATAGACTACAGCTACTTCTCAGCAATTAAAAAAGCTCAGACATGTTAAGGAATCCCCACAGCACCTGGCAAGTCCTTCTATCTCCAATATACTCCTGATTTTAGTGTTCTGAAAATACTATAAAATCAGCACACCATATTATGATGATTTTTTTCAAGGAGCCTAACAGTTTTTTCATGCTCCAATTAAGTACTAGTGTACACTGAAACTTCAGTGCTACTGCAATCCTTTTTCTCTCTTTCTCACTCTGCCCTCACACCTCGTTTCTTTCCCCACCTCACAGAGGTATCTTAATGCTCCCCATTGGAAATGGCGACAGTAACGCCTTCAGATTCTGTTGTTGCAGGGATTCTTGGCACTTTCTTAGCAGGGCTTGGGATGTGCTAAGAAGAAGGGAAAAAAACCATTAAATACAGTTTTCTAGTTCACAGACATTCATACTTCATGGCTAGTCCAACTCCCAAACAACATTCATGCTACAATGGACGGCTTGGCCTTAAGTCAATCAAATTGGTCATGCTTCATGCAAACAGATCGTGTGAGAAGAGCCAGTTTGTTCCTCTTTCATTCTTGTGCAGTTTCATTCTTTTTATGATGAAATGTACTTTTTAAAATCGCAGTTTCAACTTTTTACTTCTGGCTTGTATGTTACACGTGTTAACAAAGTATTCAATGTAACTCGTAAAACCACTTCCTCTTAACATACATGCACATGCTAAGACAAACATGTAAATGGTTCCACCATTTACATCAAACTTTAAAAGAGTGCCGAGTGTTCACCTCATGAACAATGCCTGGGTGGACAACTCCAACTCTTGCTTCCAGAGGTCCATCACTCATGAGTGGGCGCCGGGCATAAGTTCTCCTGTGTTTTTCATCCACACGCACAAGGTACCATGTTCCTTCAAAGAGATCCTCGACTGAACACTGTGGAATATAATTGGCTGTAAGAAAGGGAGTATTGTTAGTTGTTTCCTGGTAAGAGTTTTACCCAATACAGGCCTTTGCAGACTGGATGCAATGAGAGAGAAGAAAACAAGCAAACATTTTTACTTCAGACATGTTGGGTGAAATGAACACAAGCTACTTAGAAGCAGAAAGGGCTGGACATTTCCTTCATTCTAGACCCTAATTATTTAAAGTCTGGCAGATTAAGTGATAAGCATTTTGCTCGAGGACTAGGAATCATTGACATTTATTAGGTTCTTACCCAAATGATGTGTTTCCTGTCTGAGCTTCATGTTTTCAGCAAAGACATCAGGTGCAATACATTTTCTTGAGTCAAGTCTTGTTTTGAGATCAGAAAGGCTGGCAGTTATTTTGTCCAGTGCAGAACCTGCAATACAGAACCATCCATGTAGGGTAGAGTCAGTACTGAGAACTGCACACTAGTATGTGAATATTTCAAGCCCATTCGAAGTTTTCACATTAGAGAATCTGAAGTATTAGTCATTTAAAATATTCCCAATTACCAACTGAAAACATTTAACAGAGTTTGAAGACTATTATTTATTTGTTCAGGGAGACGCTTAAACACTCCCTGGAGCTGGACATTCTCAATGTGGTACTGCTGTCATTAAGGCACTGCCCTGCAGGTTTCCTTATACTAGTGGGTTGTGCAACAAGGCATCAAGAGCAAGCTGAGCAAGGGAGGCAGATGACATCACCTCCAGTCACTCACCAGGAGTGGCATCCTGTGTGACCCTGATGGAATACAGGGTAGCAGCAAAACCAGAGCCATATGAGAACACGCTGATTCTCTGTCCCGCAAGCTGCTCTGGGGAGTACCTGCAAATCATATAACAGCTTTTTAAAGTCAGAACTAAGCCAAAGTTCCAGTTTTAAATAACTAGAAACTGCATCTAGCTTTGGAAAAGCAACCAGCAAATTATAGTGTCTATAATACACATTTAGCCTACTAAGCATAAATGCTGACTTTTAAAAACACAAATTCAAATACTGCTGTTATGTAATGAGTTTGAAAGCTGCCTGGAGCAAAACATGCCTGAGAAATGCC